GTGTTTACTTCAATTTTTCATCACTTTTTCAAAATTTTCAATTGAATTTTCGCTAATATATGTTTAATTAGTAATGCATGTTAATTTTGTAGATTTATTTGATTTTTCATGCAGATTCTGAGTATTGAATTTGAATTTTGAAGTTAATATGTTTAATATTGCTTTATTTTTTTGTTCATTGTTTATAATTTGTTAAAAATTTGTTATATATGTGTTGTTGTGTTTTTGCATCTGTGTTTGATTAACATGCATATGTGCATTGTGTTTGTGCATCTTTGTTTGATTAACATGCATATGTGCATTGCTCATTGTGTTTGAGTAATAGACATATGTGTCATTTATATGCTTTGACAATGTTCACTTTGTGATGTTAAAAGGGTGACTTTATGCTGTAAAAGGGTCACTGTATATTGTTACATGAGTAACTTTTTCAGTTAAAAGGGTTACTTGTTGTGTTTAAAAGGGTCACTTTATGCTGTTAAAAGGGTCACTTTATGCATATAAAAGGGTCACTTTTTGCTGTTAAAAGGGCCACTTTATGCTGTTAAAAGGTTCTCTTTGTTTTGTTAAAAGGGTCACTTTGTGTTGTTAAAAGGGTCACTTTATGCATTTAAAAGGGTCATTTATGCACATTATTCTAAATTTTTCCATGAGTAATTTTTGAATTTATATTTTTTGTTATTTCTCTGTAATAATTAGATACAATTAGATACAGGTGGTTCAATAGGTGGTTATTGTTATAAAATGCCTACAAAAGGAAAAGGAAAGCCTAAAGAGCCTGCTAAGGCTAAAGCAGTACCAAAAAAGACCCAGATAGTTCCTGAGAAGAGCAAAGCGATACCTAAAAAGGCTATGACAATTCCTGAGAAGGGTTTAATTATTTCTAAGAATGACAAACCAGAGTCTGAGAAGGCCAAAATAGTTCCTAAGAAGGCCAAAATTGTACCTAAGAAAGTTAAAACAGTGGAAGATTCTGATTATGAAATGCTTTCTGATTCTGATTCTGAATTTTTTGTGTAAGTATACATAGTTTTTTTTTTACATTTTTTAATTATATTTATTTTTAGTTTATATTGTTTCAGTTACATTTTTTATATTTTTTATTTAGGGAGCAAAGAAGCTTGATTGCAAGGTGTAGACCCTATTCATTGGAAATTTTGTTGCAGAAATTTAGTGCTGAGCAAAAACAGGCTGTTGAAGAAATTGGTTTTGGAGGTTTATTACATCTGAAATTGAAAACTCTTAATCGTCAAATTCTACCTTGGCTTAGCTTGTTGAAAACTTCAATGGTGGTAGCTGCATGTTTACCATCGCTACTGGTAAAGAATTTGTTGTTACTAAAAATGATATATGTGATGTGTTTTGCTTGCCTTTGAGTGATATTTGCGTTCCTGAACTTAATAAAAATTCTGAAGATGAAAGTGTAGATAATCAAACGTATCATTCAGGCATGGAGATCTGATTATGGTCTTTCTGGTAAGCAACCTCTTCATTTGTCAAAATTGGAGTCTCGGATGGTTGATTTGGTTGATGGAGGGGAAGAATTTAAGAGGTGTTTTGTTCTTCAAGCTATGTCTATCTTTTTAGCTCCTACTACTAATAGGACTATTTCATTGAAGTTGCTGAAAGCTGTTGAAAAAGTTGATGAAATTAAAACTTTCGATTGGTGTTCATATGTTTTGAAAAAGTTAAAGAAGGCTGTTCAGAAGTATAAGGATGATTAAACTGCTCAAAATGTTAGTGGTTGTTTGCTGGCTTTGCAAATTATGTATTTTCATCGTCTAAATTTTCAAGGTGAAAAGGAAAGTAGTACTCTTCCTTTGATTCAACATTGGACGGATGTAAAGATTAAGAAGCGGATTAAGTTAGAGATCAGCTGGTGGTTATGGGGCAGGGAGCGTTGGATACTTTTACATATCCTGTGTCACAGCTTAATTTTAGGGAAACTGTTTCAAAGCCAGCTCCTACTTTGGGTTATGATAAGGGTGCTTCTACAAGTGGTACCACTGGCCGCATTGTTGCATTTGAGCTTCCAGAAGGTATTATGACTGATGAAGAAATTAAAGAAATTTTAACTGATGTAAGTGTTCTGTTTTCTTATATGTTTAGTTATTATTGCTTTATGGCACAAAAGTTACCCTTTTTTTGTACAAAATTTACCCTTTATTTGCACCAAAGTTACCCTTTATATGCATTAAAGTTATCCTAAATATTAAGTTAAAAGGGTTACTTTATGCATATAAAAGGGTAACTTTATGCATTTAAAAGGGTCAATTTAAGCATATATTTTGAATTTTTACTTATTTTATTATTTTTATTTGTAACATTTTTTTTCTTTGTTCATATGTTTGTAGGTTTTTCATGAAACGTTTCTTTTGTTTAAAAGAAATATGGATGTTTTATTATTTGTTCAGTCAACTGGTTTTCAAACCTTGAATGATCTGATTACTTCTCGCATAAGTGTTTCATTATCTTCTGATGATTTTGTTTCAGTTTCTCAAACTGAACAGCTACTCTCTGATCCTCATTATCTGAAGATTTTAGATGGTTTAATTGATGAGTGTAATAAAATGAAGTATGTACATGATTTGTTTCGCGGTTTTTATGAACCTACAGAAGGTAACAAAGATGTTGTTCCTGAAAAAGAACCTGCACAAGGTTTCAATGAAAATATTCCTAAGGATGATGACAATGGTCATGGAAAAATAGTTAATGAAGTTCTTAATGGTTTTGGACCTTCTGCTATCATTCTTGGTCCTACTGAAAATATTCCTGTTGGGCATATTTATCAAAATGAACATGCTCGACGTATCTTTAGAGCAAATAAATCTCTATGCTCTCTGGACTGTGGACCAGTAGGTGTGCACGTGCCTTTTGTAACTCTATTTTTGAAGAGCAATGCTCGGATTTTCAGGAATTTGCCTCAGTTACATTTGGAAATTCTCGATTATTGTTTGCTGAAGGATGTTTCAATGAATAGGAAGTTAAGTGTCATTTTTTTTATGATAATTATTTTTTTATCTTTTTTTTTCTTATATTTTTTTTGTTTTTTTTAATGCTGATCTTATTTTTTTATTGTTTTAGTGAGAGCCTTGTTACTTTTGGAATGAACTTTTTAATTCCAAGAGAAGACATGGTGTCCCTTGTTGCTCCACTCAGGATTCGATGGTGCATTATTGATTGCTACTGTCTGTATTTGAATGAGAAAGCATGTTTTGAGGCTACTGGTCCTCGAAAATTCTTCTTTGGTGTTAGGAAGAGTGTAAGTTATTTCATTCTTTTTAAAATATATTTTAACACATTTACTTTATATATATATTATTGAGATCTTATACTTTAATAGTTTGCATTCTTGCATGTTTGTGACAATATTGGCAAAGGTAACATTTCTAGTGCTGTTAAGGATTTGCACGATCTATGGGAAGGTTGGGTTAGTTATGAGAATCCAGATTGTGATATAATGGATGCTGATCTGGTATATTTATGCTAAACTTAATGTCATAAATTTTAAAGAGTTCTGTTTATGATATGCTCTGTCTAAATCTCTTTTAATTTTGCTGTTTCAGATCTATTTTCCTGTTCTTATTTAGAATCACTACATTTTGTATGTTATTGATCATACAAAAGAGTTGGTATATTATCTTGACAACGTTATCTGGAGTGATTCTGCTCTTGTTTATACAAAAGAATTGTGTTCACACATGGTATGTTTGTTTTTATTTTTTGTTATGTTTCCGTTGATTCATTGTTTCCATTTTAACTTTTTTTATTTTAATGTATTCTAAACTTTTATATTTTATGTCAGTGTGTTCAAATGGGTGCTTTTCTTGGCAAAATAAATCATCCAAAGAGTTCTCAGCTACCTTCTTATGGTTTTGAAGTTGTTGAGTTGGAATGGAGAAAAGAAAAAGTTGACAATTTGGACTATGGGGTCTTTGTCATGTATCACATGCTCCATTTTGTTGGCGAATCGTTCAAATTAAATGAACTCAAAACAGTAATTATCTATATAGTTAATGTATTTTTCCTTTCTAATGCTTTTATTAATTACATATTGATAAATTTTTTTCCTGTTGTGAGATTATTGGAACGAAATTTGTATGAGAGATCTGTACCACACTGGTGCTGTGTGATTTGAATGAATCTAGGAATGATGTGTTGTCAGAATTACCCAAGTTCAACGAGAAGAAGAAAGATCCTGCTTATGTCAATGGAGTTGAAGAAAGATTAAAGGCTGCAATTGCTGAGAAGAAGAAGAGAGAAACAAAAGAAAGAAAAATGGCAACAGAAGCAGCAGCAAAGGCAGAGGCAGAAGAGGAAAAGACCAAAGGAAAAAGGGCAAAAAAGTATGCTCCTTCTAAATAGTGAAATAATTGATAGTTATTAGCTGATTAGGTCAGGGTTTTTTTTTTTTTTTTAACAATGAAAAAACTTAATGTATGTGCATACATTAAGTTCAATGATGTAATTAAACTTAGTGTATAGTCTTTGGTTGTTTTTTTTGGAATACTGATGTATGTGCATACATAAAGTAATTAAAAGGTTTATTTTTATGTTTTTTATGGGGTAACTTTTATGCAGAAAAAGGGTAACATTTATTTATAGAAAGGGTTACTTTTAAGCAAGAAAAAGGTAGATTTTATTGTTAGAAAGGGTAACTTTAGCTATGAAAAGGGTCACTTTTATGTAGAAAAAGGATCACTTCTATTCATGAAATGGATCACTTTTATGTAAATGGTTTATTATGTGAAAAAAGGTCACTTTTTTCTGTAAATTAAAAGGGTCACTTTTTTCTATTAAAAGGGTCACTTTTTGCTTAAAAAAGGTTCTTTTTTTTTGTTAAAAGGGTCACTCTTAATTTAAATGTTTAACTAAATAAAGATATGCTAATAACAGTGTCAATCACATATTCATTAAACTAGTCACATAGTAAAAAAAATATATAGTTTTAGAATACAAAGTACATTAATTTTGAAATAAAAAATGATCTAAAAAAGTTCCTAAAAGAGTCTCAAATTAGGTGTTTTAGATCCAAATTTTGAATGTGGATGTGGCAGTGCTGGTTTTCTTTTTCTCTTACTTTTTTCAAGACCTCCTTTTGCTCTCTTGCTTCTTCCTTTTGTTACAGCCCTTTGTGGATCAAGTATTGTTGGTACACTTGTGTTTGTACTCGATGCTGAAGAAACATCATCATTGCTGTGATTGTTGTCTGCCACATCAGGAATATTAGAAGCAGCTTCTGCACTTTCTCTCTGGGCAGCACTAGCAAGTAAGTCTTCCACCATTTTAAGACTGTTTCTGAAATTTTCTTCCATAAATTTTCTTGTTTCTTCATTTTCTTGACTCTTTAATATTATATTGTAGTATTTCCTTATCATTGTTTGTCTCCATGGAATATATTGATGTGTTGGATCCTGATTCTTCAACCTATCCCATGCCTCTGTTTTTGCAAACTTAGTCCATCTTTTTGAAACATACTTGTCTGGTATTCTTGTTACTGAATGCAAGTGTAGAATTCTGATGCAATTATAACATAACCATCCAAATGCTTCAAAAAATTTTCAAGTACACCATACATTCTGGATCTCATGTATATAGTTTACTTGATGTGCAGACCATGGCTTGTCTTCCAGGGCTACCTGATAAAGTAGACATTCTTCATTTCCTCCTATCATTTGAACACCTGTTGCCATAGAATATCCAAACTCCTCTTCAAAATCTCTAAAGAGTGACAAAGTGAAAACCTGTTCACCAAAATCATTTAGCTACATTTAAACTGCTATAATTTATGTACTTATCAGTTAAATTTTTACCTGTGCAGCATGTTTTAGCATTCCAGACAATGGCAATGAAGTGAATGTTATTGACTTGCTACAGGTAAACTCATCATATTTCTCTATGCTTCTCCAACGATTGATTGTTTTCTTAAATATGGTATAAAATTCTGTCAAGGTAGTTGCTTTACTTTCTCTGAATCCCATTGCATGATTAGTGCTTTCACTCCTTTGTGATGATAAGATTCCTGCTGAAAAGAAATCTCTACTAAGGGCAGGACACCATTTCTCTTTCAACTCGTACACTCTTTGGTACCAAGAGTGTGATGTCAACTCATATTTCTGCATCATTGCTTGCCATTTTGCTTCAAATTCTTGTTCATTCACACACATCTTTAAACACTGGTTGAATGCATACTTGAATTCTTTGTCTTTTTTAAGAGCTCCAAATCTGGTTATAGCATTTTGTTCCAAATGCCAGATACAAAGTCTATGCCTTGTATTAGGAAGCACCTACATTGAAAATAAAGGGGTCACTGTATGCTGTTAAAAGGGTCACTTTATGCTGGTTAAAGGGTAACTTTCTGCAGTTAAAAGGGTAACTTTATGGAAAAAAGGAAAACATTATTGTCAGAGTTTAAAATCTGTAAAATGTAAATATAAATCTTTTACCTGCTCAATTGCATTTGCCATTGCTTGGTCCTGATCAGTGAATATTGAAGTTGGTAATCTATTCTCCATAGCTTTCAAGAATGTTTCTAGTAGCCACACAAATGAATCTGTTTTTTCTTTCCCAATAAAAGCACATGCAAACATACAATTATGCCAGTGATTATTTATTCCAACAAATGGAGCACATATAAGATTATATCTGTTGGTTCTGTATGTTGTATCAAAGACAAGCACATCTCCATATATCCTATAGTCTTCTAGCATCATTGAATCTCTCCAAAAGATATTGGAAATTCTTCCTTCCTTGTCAAACTTCACTCTAAAAAAGAAGTTTGGATCCTTTGATTGTTCCTGATTTAAAATGTTCACTAAAGTTTGAGCATCTCTAGCCTCAATTTGTTCCATTCTTAACCTTGAGCAAAAATTCAGGTGATCTACAATACTATAACCTATATTATGTTCTCCTCCAGCCTCTGTAGCCATGTAATTGTAAGTGTCCATTGTAGTTAGACCTGAAGATTTCATTGTTTTTATTGCTTCAGCTTTTTCTTCTGTCATTTTTCTTTCAGAACGATGCAAATAATGCCACTGTGACCTTGTTAGCTCATGGTTATGCTGAATAACATGAGCCACTACCTCAAACTTTCCTTCTTTATTCACTCTTGCTCTTATGCATGCCTTGCAATTCGATCTTGTAATGGCTACTTGTCTTGGCTTTCTTGTTTTTACATTCACATCCTCTTCATTAACCATTTCAACTAACTTTGTTTTCTTGTAACCTGAATTTCTCTTTCCTTCAGCTGAACACACATAATTTTTCTCAGTTACTATTTTTGTGTGTGTCTGGTATCTAGTTGTATGTTTTCGTATTGAAAACCCCAGTATGCATGTTTTTCATACAATTCCAAAATTTCTTCAAAAGTTTCTTTTACCACACCAAAAAATGAACCTCTAATATCTAAATCAGAAGCATAATTGGATTTGTATCTGTGATTTAATACAGATATATCAGATTATAATCAGAGGCAGTATATCATTAAATTTAGAGGAAACAAAATGGTAACTTTTGTTTGAAAATAGGGTCACTTTTATGCATGAAAAGGGTAACATTAAGGCATACAAAAGGTTACTTTTTGAATACAATCTGAATTTTCTGCATACAATCTTAGGGTAACATTTGTGCATAAATAGGTTCACTTTTATGCATGAAAAGGGTAACTTTAAGGCATACAAAGGGTTACTTTTCTGCATACAACCTTAGAGTAACATTTATGCATAAATAGGGTCACTTTTATGCATGAAAAGGGTAACTTTAAGGCATACAAAGGGTTACTTTTTGCATACAATCTGAAATGTTTATAGAAATTACCTTCACTTGCATTTGATTTGGTTGTTTGTTCTGAATTTGAATCAATTGATTTGCCAGGAACCACTTGATTTTCTGCATTTTCAATTGCTTTTTCTGCAATCTCAATTGCTTCTTCTGCTGTAATACCCGAATATTTTATGATTTTATACATTATATTTTATGAAAAAATAGTTATTTTAATTTATTAAATAACTTTCCTAATCTCAATTTTTTATTTAGAGTTCGGAAAGTTGTAAAATCCTATAAATATTCTTAACCCTCAAAAGATATTTTAAAAAAAAAAAAAAAAAAAAAAAAAAGATGAAAGAAGCCGTTTTCCTTATCTTGCTTTAGATTTGTAAAACAAAATCAACTTATTTCTTCTAGAAATTAAAGCTGCACAATATATTTGTGTATGGAAGGCCGTATGTAGCTCGGTTGCTTTGCGTTGAATGTCGTCTTGCGATTTTGATTCGTGGAAAGGTAATCACACGAACCTATTTGGAGATGTTTGTATTACTAGCATATGTAATCACACTATCTTAATTAATTTTTTTGACTTGTTTGATTATAAATTGTTAGTATTAATTGTACTCCGTATTGTTATGTGTAAATTTTATAATTTATGAATTATATATGATCATGATTTATATGTATATGATTAGTGTGTGGTATTATATGATTTAATTGTCGCATTGATTGATTGTGTTATTTTTCTAGGGTTTTTAATGTTGTTGTTTTTATAGGGAGTATTGTTTTATCAAGGTTTTAGGGTTGTTAATGCAGAGTATTATTTTTGGGTGGAGATTTGATTAATTTTGGGTACTAGTATTAGTTCTATAAGAGTTGAGATATTTTATGAACCGAATATGTCGTCATATATGAATTGGGAACCTGTGCCAATATTGAGGTATTATTTGTTATCACGTGAATGGTTATTTGATCAAGTATGAGATCAAAAGGTTGAGAATTATTATTTTGTTCTTGGGTTGAGGCTCGACGTTATATAACTTAGTCTTTGGCTTGTTGGTAAGAGGGTAATAATCATGAGTTAAGAATGAGGTACAATCTTTATTATCTATTTTTCTATGATCCCCTACAGTGGGAATTGGCCCGTATGTGGTCTGGTTCAAGGTGCTTTCTGGTTATTGGGAGTATTCAAATTTTTATACTTGTTGGTTTTATTCGAATTACCCAAGTCCAAGGCTAGGTATAAAACAAAGAGCATGGCACACTATTGGTTAAGAGTTGAGTAAAGGTTCGTATTATTATTCGAGGTTGAGTTGTTAAAGGTTATTTTCAGAGTACAATGGGTAATGTAGTTTCAAACTACATTGTTTAATTGATCTAGTAATGTTAATTATTATATTATACTCTATATTATGATATGTGGTGATTACTCAGCTTTTGCTGACGTGTGTGTTGTTTTGTTGTGCTACTTGTGTTTGCGGCCATGTCTTTTTCTTATGGTGGCCCTGCGACGATCTATTTTGGAATTTGTCCTTAATGGTGAGCAATCAAGATTATTTAAGCAGGTTGATCAAGTGATTGTAGCTAAAGGAGCTCAAGTGTTTCGAGTAGTATGCTGTAACCAGTTTGTAAAGTTGTATAAATAGCTCACCTAGATTTATTGGGTTGTATTTATTGGGATTTGTAAGCCTTAACACTCGACAGGTTGTTGAGTGTGGCGGTGATACCCCCGATTTAAGTGTATGCTTTCGCAATTTTATTTAAAGGTTGTCTATTTTTCCTTTATTTATTGTTTATTATTAGCTAGTAAATCGGGGGTGTTACATCTGCATTCTCAATTGCTTCTTCTGCATTGTTAATTACTTCTTCTACATCGTCTCCATTGTTTGGATTGTTGAATATTGGTACGAATTCATCTCCAAAACTCTTAGTTTCTTCTTCTTCTATAATTGATCGATGTAAATCGATTTCAAATTCAGTTTCAATTTGCCTCTGTTTTTGTAGCAATTCGTGGATGAGATTGCCACAATTTGTGGTATCGAAAGTCGAATTTTCCATTGATGATCGAATTCTCCAATTTTTGCATTTTCTCACTTTCTCTCTTCTCAACTAATGATCGAATTCCGCAATTTGTAAGTTTTCTCGCTTTCTCTACCTTAATTGATGGTCGAAATTTTTAATTTGTGCGTTTTTTCACCTTTTTTCTTCTCAATTGATGATCGATTTCTACAATTTTTGCGTTTTCTCACTTTTTCTCTCCTCAATTGATGATCAAGGGCTGCGTTTTCTCACTTTCTCTCTCCTCCATTGTTGTTCTGCGTTTTTTTGATTTTGAGGTATTAAAAAAACTAGTAAATGAGTGGCACATGCAAACAGTCCGATGTACAGTAAAAATACTGTACACCGGGTGCATGCAAAATGGATTGAACTATTAGAGACGAAAGAAGAACTACGTAATATCCTATACTTAAAAAAGCAATCTCCATTATATTAAGAGAGTAAACATAATTTGGGAAAGTATATCATTATATTTATTACTGTATTTGTGAATTTTGACAGAATGGTATTTTCATATGCTATCGCACGCGTGAAAAGTAATGTCACGTGCTACCCATGTAAGAAACTGCAACACAATGACTGATGATAATTATAGATAATAAATTGAATTATTTAAGGGAGCAAGCAATACCATCTATAGTTGGTAGGTCACTAATTTAATTGCATCGACTATTTAACAACAAATTAAAATACATTATCATGCTACTTTATGGAATTTAATGGAATGAATCAAAGAGTTGGTTATAATTTCTTTTGCAAAAAATACTTACATTATTAGAGATAGGGTTAAAACTAATCTTTTTGTATCAATGATTGTCCAATTTTTAATTACAAAAACAGACGATGATTTTTACCACCTTTTGCGACTATTATTGAACTTATTTAACTTTGTAAAATACAAATGTTTGCTTTTGTATTACGTCCATTGTTTTGGCACTGCCATATGTACGTTGCACCAACACATGTATGAAGACAATGCACTAAATTTTCTTAAGTCAAAAGGGAAGGAAAAAGAGAAAAACATTGTATAGTTAATCAGTTATTATTAACCTTGTAATGTACATGATCTTACTAGCTAATTAGTCTTGTACCTAGGACTGTGCACCAGTTCAGAACCGAAATCAAAATGGATCAGACCATGCCCGGAACTAGAGTACAAAAATTCAAGGACCATTAATCAAACTCAAATACTACATCCGTTACAAGTTATGTGCAACAATTAGACATTTTCTCTCTCTGCTTTATGTCAAATCGTTGCACATAACCTTTAACGGAGGTAGTAATTCCAATAATCTAGATTGGTGTGGACTTGGATGATATATAGGACACCAGTGTAGGTTCAAGTCTAGACATCCTATAGGATCAATTACGGAATTGAAATGGCGATTAAGAGTATAATTAGAACACCGGTGTAGGTTCAAGTCTAGACATCTTATAGGATCAATTACGCCTTTGAAATCTCAGTTAAGAGTATGATTAGAGATAATAAGAAATTATTGTTTTGGCAAGGGTCACATTATTTGGGGACCTCATTTTCTTGTAGGAAGTATACCAATATACCATGTTGCAAAGCATGGGGTATAATTATATATCTACTCATGAAGGGTGGCCTAAAGGCTATATTTGGTTAGTTCTAGTAATCAACTAATTATAGATTAAAAGAAATGTCCATATACTTAATAATAGCTATAGTTGATTGATGTCATACATGTTCTATTAATTATGAAGTATCAGATTTGAAATTTAGATAGCTTATTACAAACACAATTCCTCTTGTTATCTTCATCCCTCTAAACAATTAAATCACATAATTTTCACTTTAATTTCTCTTACCTTGATACTTGCCTCCTGCAACTTACAAAGTTACAAACGCCCCAAAGAATTTTGTGATAATCTATTAGTTATAATTAGCGGTGTCCATGTGGTTTTCGATTTGGATTTAGTCCAAATCCGATCTAATCCGAAAAATAATTTCGTTATCAATTTTTCAATCCGATCCGATCCGATCCGAATTTCTCTCCCACTCCAATCCAAATTAAAATCTGATTATTTAGATCTGATCCGAAAATCCGAATGATAATATATTATTTTTAAGCGATTAATATATATGATTATAAATTAAGCTTTAATATAAATACAAGTCTTCAAAATCATGATTAAAATAAATAGTTAAACATCAAGCCATTAATTAAATAATACAATACAAAGTCTCCCTAATTAATTTTATGTAGTAGTAAGTATTTGAGCTTAACTTCAAAAAAACAGAGAAAATCCATATTTATACGAGCTTAATTTTACAATTCGATTTTCGGTTTGGATTGGATCCATTGTGTAAATCCGGTCCATGCAATCCGAAGTCCGTATTTTCAAAAAATTT